TTTTTCTGGCACACAATGTACCGTAGTTGTCCCCTGCTCCTGATGCTGGGATGCTCACCAGGTCAGTAGGTGGGCGAGGTTCCATCTGAGATCTAGTTCATCTTCTACATGCTGTGAAGACATGAGGGGAGAGGGAAGGTGGGAGTCCTTCAGACTGCAGCCACTTAATGCCACCACAATAGTCAAAAGCGTAGCTGGAATATCATACATGCCATTTATTCAGTGACCCTATGTGAAAATACAGGGTTATCAAGCATAGCTAAGCCACTTACTTTATTGCGCCTATTGCTCAGCAAAATTATTGGCTCTGGGCTCCCTTTGAATGATGAACTTTGAATAGTGAAATAGAGCTCGTGTGACTGCCACGGTCCGGGTCTATGTGAAATTGACCATAGATGTGTCATGTGCACTGGAAAAGGATTGTTGGAAAGGCTTCAGCTGCAAAGGCAATTTGAGCTAGCTGTTCCCGGTGTCCTACTTGTGGCAGGGTTTCTCAACAGGCTTCAACATGTGATAGGAGTGTGGATCAGGAAACCGCAAGAGGGGTCCAGAGCTTGGACTCACAGTGCCCTGAGGTCAGTGGCCTTGGCTCCTGGTCCCCTGGCCCATGGAGGAATGCCTTTCCACTGCAGTTGCTGGTTCTGCTGCTGCCTCCCCGCTCCCCGTCCCCACACACAGTGGTCCAGGGAAGCCCAAAAGGAAGCCCTGCATGTAGGAATCAAAGGGTTGTTCAAGTGGCACTTAGCCTTTGTATGGGGTGTCTGGGGTAACATTTGCTCTTGAGGGTCTAAGTGGGAGGGCAGACAAAGCCATGAGGAAGTTCCTATTGCCTCAGCTCTAGAACATCCTGTACCCCTGGACCATTCAGGCAATTAGGCCACAGACCCTGGGCTAGATTTTAGAGCAAGCTCTCACCTGCCTGTGTCAGCTCTCGGTTCAGCAGGTTTTGCAGTGGCTTTGCAGAGCCACTGTGTCCTGTGGACGAGGGGAAGAGGTGCATGATCTCCTTGGTGGAGCATAGCAGCTGCTGTGCAGTGCACAGCCCGCAGGGTTCCGGGATGATGGGCTCTTCTCAATCAGTGTGATGCATACGAGATGCGCAGCAGCCCGGCCACCTTCCCTCGCTTACCTGTTGAACCTGATTACTTGGAAACTTATTCTTCCAGAGTCCTGTGTTTTACATTGGAAATACGTCCTATATTCTTCCTTCTGATTCCTTTTTCAAGCCACAATTGGTCCATTTCCACCTTAAGTTAATAGTGCTCTTCATCCTCGTGTACAATGCAGGAGCACTGTTTTAAAGAAGAGGGTTCTTTAAAAATATGTTGGTTAGAACCAGTGTTTCTAGTTATTTACCAACATAAATCAAAATCCGGTATCTATGTTGGCAATTACCATTTTAGTTCTCTGAAACAGTAAGATGTGGTTGTTTTGATTTGTTTTTTTAAGCAGCTATATCCATTCTGATTCAAATTATGTTTATCCCCCACCCCAGGCAAATACTAATTCAATGGAAGACTTTTATTTATTGTGTTATTGCCAGGAATGGTAGATGCTAACTATTATATAATTGTCCTATTATTGTTAGTCATTTGCTATTACTAATAAATATCTGAAGGCCCTAATATCCATCCCTAGTTCAGAACATCAAGGCTCTCTGCCCTTGTGAAATGTAACAAGGAATTAATTAGCAAGAAAAAAATTATCTCTGATACCCTGTTTTTCTTCTCTATATTTTAATGGGTTACTTACATTGGGGGTAGGGGAGTCACTAAATGATGTCCAGTGTTTAATTCTAACTATGTGCCACTGTCATTTTTAGTCCAGATTGTCAGAACTGATGACAGCTACACTGAAAAGCCCTTTGAGACAGTGAAAATTCTAGCTTTTGAGCCATTATTAGGGAAGAAGAGTAGAGCACACAGACACGTATCCAAAAGAGGGGACCACCCTTTTCCAATTTTTGTACAGCGACGTGTCTTTTGATAGTACCTATTCATTCACTGCACAAGCATTTACCTAATACCTAGCACGGGCCTGGCATGGTTAGCCCTTGAAGATACCTAAATGGAGGACACAATTACCATCTTCTAGAACCACACAGTCTGGTAAGGGAGACAGTTACATCAACTTTAAAACATGCAATCTAGACAGTGATAGTGACACCCACATGGGACCACCGAGGACCCCAGGGTCTCACTTATTGCCTGGAGAGGTGGAAGGCTCACAGCAGCCTTCCTGTAGGATGTGGCGTTGGAGCTGGATTGCAAGGCTAAGTTTGAGTCCTGGTTTTGCCACCTACTGACTGTATAACTTTAGTAGTTACATAACCTCATTAAATCTCAATTTCATCATCTAAACAATGCAGATAACATTGTTGCCTGCGTCACAGAACTGTTTAAAGACTAAATAATATATGTAAAGTGCTGGTCACCATGCCTGAAACATGGTACGTTCTCTAAAACTGATAACCACCACTGCTGTCATCATCATCATCATCATCATCATCATCATTTGACAGACCTTATTCATAGTAAAACGTATTATTGTGCTAAGAATGCGTTAATTTAGTTGTATATAGATATCACGAAAAGAAGGAATTTTGGCAGTACTTTTGATTAGTTCGTGGACCAGACAAACAAAACAGTTAATCCTAAAAGTAAAATTAACCCCTCTAAAAGTCACAAGTCTTTATAGCAAAGGATTTATGGAACCTAATAGAAAATTTATAGAATTTTTCTATAGCAGTAATTTATTATTGTTATTTTTAAATGAATTAATAAGTGAATATTTTAAATATGGCTCAGTTTTAATTTCTAATGCAAATATCAATATAATAACCCATAAAAACAATCTCTTTAGAGTCTTCAGTAGTTTTTTAGAGTCTGAAGGGATTCTGAGACCAAAACATCTGAGAACCACTACTGTAGAGAATAAGATCCTCCTGGAACTCTGTTTCCCAGATGGCCATTGGGCTACAGGGAAGCAGGAGAGAGCTCAAGCTGGCTGGCCCGTGTACAGACTTCTCATGACCAAGTGTTAGTAACATCTGCTTCCTGTCCCTCTAGGTGAGTGGTTCTCAGCCTTCGCGGCACATTGGGATCACACGGGGTGATTAACAGACAAACAGGTGTCTAGCTCCCCACCCCAGTGTTAGTGATTCAGCTGGTCTGGGGTGTAGCTATGACATGATTGTTTAAACCCCAAGTGATTGTGATGTGAAGTCAAAGTTGAGAACCACTGTTCAAGGTGGTCTATGAGAGGGTAAGCCCAGCGGGTAATGGCAGAATATAGCAACAATGACCTCTAGATTACTCGTTTCCTTAACTGATCGCTGCTGCTAAAGGTCTCAGGAAAACTACTTCAAGTCCTTGTTATCAAAATTAAAATGTTATTTCCATAAAAAGTTTAAAAACAAAATAAGACCAACATTTTCTACAGCAGTTTAATCATTTTGCTATTTAGATTTTTTTTTAAATAATAGCTAGACATACTTTGTCTAAACCAGGGTAGATTCTTAGCCAAACTTTACAGGTTCCCCTGAGTCATCATGCCATCAGTTAGAATCTTTTAACTCAGCCTCAAGTTCCGTTGCAGCAGCTTTCAGCCCCTCCCTAGAGGCTCTTTTTCTCGTGGTCGTCCTTGCAAGTGCTGTCTGTCTGTGGATTATCTGCAGAAGGCGGATTCCCACTCTGGTTTCCATCCACCAAACCCCCACCAAAGACTTGAGTGTATTAGAGGAATCCACGTTACCGTTACATTGAAATAGTCAAAACATAGTATAGATGGCCAGTCTGTGACTGCAAATAGTCTTAAAATGAATAAATGGTGGTGCATTCCAAAGATCAACTAAAATTATTTTTACACTCACAAAAACGTTTTGTATTATCTAGAATACAACTAACTCCATTTATTTTGTACTCGGCATTTATCTTTATATATCATCACTATTTTAAACTTCATGATGAGTTGATAGTTACCACTAACAGCATTGGAATGCTTATCTCCATATCAAACTTTCTGACAAATTATAAATTAAGAATGTTGCAGGTGAATATAAATATTAATAGTTTTACATTTGAAATAACAGCAACAGCATCCTGCTCTCAATTCTGAAACTATACCTCCAAGAGTGAATGCTGGAAAGAGGTGGGGACCAGCCCCTGTGTGAGGAGGTAGTCTCTGGCCATCAGGACCTCTGCGATGTCACCGTGGAAAGAAATGAGTTTTGCATTTGACTCACACACTACACCTCGCCCTTGACTAATGAATGTGCGCTCTGCCCCTCTCCTTAGCCTTTCAGGACAGTGGGTTTTACCGAATAGCTAGGCTGGTGCATATTCTGCGCCGTAGGCATCTTTGCTGTAACCCGTCCTCCACTAGTCTAGCATGAGCTTTAAGAATAGATATTTGCTTATACACAGGGCAAAAGTGTGCTTTTTCTATGGTTTTTAAGTCCTGTCCTAGAATATGGTTCAGATCCACGGGTGTTGCCCACCTTCCAAAGGCCAGGCTTACACTAGTGAAATGGGAAGTTGCTGGGTTTGTCTTGAGAATGGTCAACGCGTCTATTCCAAACACTACCCCAGGAGGCAAGTATGCGTCCTCCCCCTCCCCACCATATAGTTTCTAGGTTCAGGCCCTTACGGGGGTGCTTTGTGATGTCCCTTTGTAATACTTCCTTTATGCCGTTGTTTAACACTTGTATCGTGGCTGCGTACCTCGCTGTTCCCCCCGTCTTGCCCCCAACACTCACACTGTGCTAGACTGAGGAGCACGTGCTCTGTGTGTCGACTGAAAGAGTAGCTAAAGCAAAAGGATGGAAACCGAGGTTCCAGGCCATAATGATCGTCCACGTTTCTTTATGGACAGTAAATGTTGGGAACGCCGAGGGGTGAGCGGTGTGTGTTCCGCACGTGTGTCTGTGTGGGCGCGGGGAGGCCGGTGGGCTGGTTGGGTCTGCCCTTTCACTCCTGACCCAGTCTTCTCAACCCTCACAGGCTCCATCCACGCCACATCAGTAGCGGCCTCCAGAGTGGAGCAGGCACTGTCGGAAGTGGCCTCGTCTCTGCAGAGCAGCGCCCCCAAGCAGGGCCCGCTACACCCCTGGATGACCCTGGCACAGATCTGGCTCCACGCAGGTACCACTCCGCCCCTTCCCACAGCCCGCAGCCGCACCAGAGGCTGCAGGACACTGCAGGCAGGTGCTGGCCTGTTAGCCCGTGGCCCTCGTCAGGAGAAATCAAAGCTTTCGGAGTCACCTACCAAAATGCTGCTACTTCTTTATAGGAACCACAAATTACTCTGTATCTCCCCATCCCTCCCCTGCCGCAGGACCCTGGCACAGAGCAGGTATCCAGGAAAGATTTTCTGAGTGGGACTCTTAAGGGCTCCTGGGGAGTTTGCCGTGTGGGCTGCAGGATTTATGCTGCAGAGGGACCAGAGAGCTACACCCCAGACTATCTGTGGGTGGCTCGGGTGGAGCCCAGCTGTACTGCTTACCAGCATGGTAGACTTGAGTTAAAGTCTCTAACTGTCAGCCTTGTCTGTACCATGGGGTTAAGAGTAGCCCCTGTCTCCTGGTACGTCTTGTCAGTGAAGTCTCGGAGTCCCTGGAAGAGGGGACAGGGGGTATTGATGTCTTTATCAAAGCCAAGGAAGGGGCAGTGTGTTTGGCACGCCTCCCCATCCCCCACAATGGCTCTCCTGAGGATCCATAGAGAGCGAGAGAGGTAGCAGCAGCCTCTGACCTGGCAATCAGCCCGCCCCCAGCTTCACTGGGCAGTCCACTGGCTCAGCGATGCTTCTGCATAGCTGGAAAGCCCACAGATAAATCTAGTGCACAGGCATTTTAGCAGTGAGAATGCCACGATACAGCGCTTCCAAGCAAATGATGGCTGTTGATTTACTTACATATTTATATTTCTACATAAAAGGTAACTTCCGTTCCTCAGGTTTTATCGTGTCATCTGCACAACCCTAACTGGGCCTTCTCAGGCTCGACACTAAGGTACATGGCGAAAGCCCAAACCGGGCTGAGAAGAGTGCTCATTATCTCCCAGTTGTGCTTCTGTTGACTCCTTTTCTGCCAAGGCTAATTGCACCATGTTCCACCTTGTTTGACACCATTGGCGGACCTTCGCATGTGGGAGCATGGTTGGATTTACCTGGCTTTGGCATACCATGGAGCCCAGCTCAGTCAGCCTTTTCTGTGTTGGCATCTTTAACTGGGCCATAACAACTACCATAAATTAACAAATTATATTCTTCTAAGCAGAAGCACAAAAGATGGGTGATTCATGAATGCACAATTGTTCCTCCCCACTGCAGACGCCTGCAATGTTCGGCCCCTCTCCCAGAGAGGTCCCAGATATGCTGGCTGTAAGGGCCAGGGAGCAGCAGTCATGCCTCCTCCATGGTACCCTTATGGATGGAGAGGTTCAGTCCCCAGCAGAGGGTTCTGACGCCTGTCCTGTTCACTCATCCTCATGAACGGTGACCACGGAGAGCAGAAAGGGAAGGAGTACGGTTTAGTGTCTGGGCCAGGTGAGCCTGGCTGACCTTGCGGGGCTGGTGTAGGGGCAGAGTTGCCTTTTAAATTGGGCTTGAATTTGAGTCTTTGAAGGGCCAAAGTGTAAAACCCTGGAAAGGCTGGAGGCCATCCCTCCAGGCTGGGACTAGCTCCCTGACCTGACAGGCGGGGCTTCTCTTGCTTGTTTCTCAGAAAACTTAATGACCTGAGAGTCACCAGGAGGGCTTTGCCACGCGTCTTGCCGCCCCTCACTCGATTATCCAGGGACTCTGCCCCTCTTTGCATGGCCTGCCACGACTCTTGACAAGGAAATTTTGCAGCTGCTTATTAGAACATTGAAGAACTTGATGGCTCAGATTCAGCTTGGAGGAGCTATCCTTGAATTTTTATATTACCACATAAGATCCATTTCTTACCGCCATGGCCCACGTGATGGAGTCAAGTTCTCATTGTAGTTAGTGGACGTGGCTTTAATACTCTACAAGGTGGCGGAATTGAACTATGGAAAGCAAATGCCATACTTGCCTGTCGACTAGGGGCAGAAGGTGCTCATCTGCATATGGTGAGCATTGTGTGTCATATGAATGGATGGAGTTGATTAGAATCATTTCAGAATTTGTGCCATATTGACTCTCAAAGCAATGACTTTCAGTCAAGATTTAGAATCACATCATATATTCACATAGTCTTTAAAGAGGTAAATTCAGAAGAAAACAGAGCTTCCACTGAACTGTCATGTTTTGCCTTATGTGATATGAGCTCCACTGCTCTGAGAAGCAAAATAAAGTTGACCCAAGTTTTTGAAAATTCATGGAAACCAAGTAACATCTGCTTCCGTGTCTATCATCAGCTCCAGCAATACTGCCAGATTCTATACATTTTGCAAGCGTTAGAAGAGATTAGTTAGCTCAGAGCCTAACGCTCAAGGCCATGGTGTTTCTGTGGCATTTGTGGGCCTGCTGTCTTCCGGTTGTTTCTCCTGGTGAACTGAATGTAGAGGGACCTCGTGATGGGAGCCCGTGGTGGAGGTGGCCCATTTGAGGCTTGCAGGAAAGGTCACTCAGAGATGACCTCTGATTTCCAGCCTATTGTTAATATATCAGTGGGTCTCTGGGCCACTTGGATGTGCAGATCATGAGTAGGAAACCTGAGCCTCCAGCTGCTTTGTGAGGGGACAGGCCAAAGGCCTGGCTGGGAACACAGACCCAGGAACCAGGGATGTTTGACCATAGAGGGTCCCCCACTTCCTGTGTGGTGGCACCCCCTCTTCTCCTGCCTAGACACCCCTGAACCCATTGCTTCAGGACACCTGGTGGCCAATTCAGCATGGACCATACATGTTTTGTTCCTTGGTTTGTTTGGACCTATGTCACAATTTTATTTATGTTATTTTCAGATAAATAACATGTATATGGTACATAGTTGAAAAAGTAGGAAGGCCTAAAGTAAAAAGGCTCCCTCCTGTCCCTGAGCCTCAGTCACCCTCCCAACAGGCAGCCACTGTTCCCAGTGCCATGCTCCCTCCAGAGATTGCACACACACTGCACTTTGTCCCCGTCACCCTCTTACTGCACCCTCTCGGAGACGGGTGCTTATCAGCACATGCAAGGCTGACTGGTGCTTTGAAACAGCTGCGCAGTGTAAACCATTGGGTGGTTATACCATCATTTTACCAGTACTCTGTTAGTTAACACTTAGATTGTTCTAGCATTGCCATTGCAGATAATGCTTCAGTAAGTATCCTTGCATGCAGTTGGCCCTCCGTGGTCTCAGGTTCTGCATCATGAATTTAATCAACCACAGATCAAAAACATCTGGAAGAAATGTCTGCGCTGAACACATACAGTCTTTTTTGTCCTGTCATTACTCCCTAAACAATACAGTGTGACAACTACTTACATGGCATTCCCATTGCATTCGGTGTTATCAGTGCTCTAGAGGTGATTGAAGTATGCAGGATTGTGCAGGTTATACGCAAGCACTGTGCCATTTTATACCAGGGACTTGAGCATCCACGGGCTTTGGTATCTATGGAAGGTCCTGGAACCAATTCCTCGCGAATCCTGAGGGACAACTATATATATTGTTCTGTGTCTGTAAGATAAACTCCAAAAGGGAGAACTGATGGATCAAAGGGTCTGTACTGTTCAATTTTGATAAGTCTTGTCACATTGCCTTCTTTGGAATTGTACCCATGTACATTCCAGTCAACAACGCGTAAACGTCCACTTTCTCACATCCCTGCCAACACAGTGAGTTCTCACAATGCTTCATCTTTGCCAATCTGACAAGTGGAAGATGGCATTTCAATTTTCTGTCCATAGCTTTTCCCCATTTATCTTCCCATTTATCTTCATAGATACTGAGCTTTTCTTTTTTATTTGTAAGCATTTATTGTGTGTTAAAGAAGTCTGCCTTGTGTCTGAGGCAGGCACTACAGATATTTTCTTCCATCTTTATTTTCTTTGTGTTTTTTTGTTTGTTTGTGGGGATTTTTGCCAAACAGTTTTTTAAAGAAGTACCTTTATCAGCACTTTGGGAGGCCAAGGCAGGAAGATCACTTGAGCACGGGGATTCGAGACCAGCCTAGGCAGCTAGTGAGAACTCGTCACTACAAAAAGTTTTTAAAAATCGGCTGTGCATCTTGTTGTGCACTTGTAGTCCCAGCTACTCGGGAGGCTGAGGCGGCAGAATCGCTTGAGCAGGGGAGTCCAGGGCTGCAGTGAGCTGTGATCGCAGCACTGCTCTCTAGCCTGGGCGACAGAGCAAGGTCTTGTCTCTAAAACAAAAAGGAAGAAAAATAAATGTATCAGTCTTTTCTTATGGCATCTGTGCTTCCCATGATACTTAGGAAGCAACTACTCGGTCTCTTTTCCTGAAAGTTCCAAGTGTCTTCCAGTGCCATTTGTATACACTGTCTTGCAAAGAAGGTCAGAGGGAGGTTGTTTCCTCCATTATGCCACAAGGGATCCCAGGCTAGATGGCAGTGAGCTCCTTTGCAGTCTGCTGGGGCAGAAGTCAGGGGAGCTCAATGAGGGCATGTGACAACACCTCAAGACATGGCTCCTTAGGAACCACTCCACGGCTGCCTTAGGACGCAGGCCACTGTGAGCCATTGGAAAGTCCCACGTGCACAGCAATTCAGAATTGAAGCAGGGCCTTTCCCAAGCCAAGCAGCTTCTTGGTGCCTGTCTTTCAATTTCCACATTGGGATGGCAGCTAAAAATGACTTTGCGGTAGGTGGTTAATTTCTGCTTGTTACTTACTAATAATTATAGCTTTCACTTTGGCACCTCTCACAGTTGAAACCAGTGGCTATTCTTAGATGTGCAAGATCAGATTTTCTGATTTCTGCTGGGAATTTAAAGCTGTGATACTCTTACAAATTCCTTGGCCTTGCCCAGCCTGTCCCCTTTGCCCTTCCCCCTCCCAGACTCCTCCCAGGCATCGGAGGTTGTGTCAGCAGGGTTGAGGGGTAATCCATGGCATGCCCACCACGGTGAGATGAAGACAGCTACCAGACAGGTGGTATGTGTCACTGCACAGCACCCATTGGGGAGGCCATGAAGTCCTGGGGGGTTAGGCCTGCCCAGCTTACATTTATCAAGC